CGTGCACCACGCAGTAGTAATACACGACCGCACGCCGGTACGAAGCAGCTCATCCAGATCGAAACGGGTAGGGGTGGGAATTGCATCCAAAAAAACTTAATGTTAATAAAAAAAAAAAATTGTAATTTTTTTTTTTTTTTTTTTGAGTGTTACGATGTCTAACGCGAACCCAACTTGCCCATACTATCACATTTTCATCCTCAGAGACAGCGACCCTTTATCATCCATTCATCACCGCGAGCCGGTCTGAATACTAAAACGCGTGTCGCTTACTCTGCCCGTACCTTCGGATCACTGCGCCGAACCGCTCAAGACGCCGCTGAAGATAGTGGAGATAGTTTTTTTTTTTTCCTCCCGAACATTGGAACTAAGCCTTCCCCACGTAACGCCTCATCGTACCAACTGCGGGGAGATTTGCATGGGGAAGCAAATCTTCTCGCACACAAAGTGCATATACACGAGCGAGCAGTGAGAGTTGTCACGGCGCTGCGCGCGCTCCGACAACAGCGACGACGACAACAACAACAAACAAAGCCTGCATCCTTTGCTTGCCACGAGCTCTGCGCGACACACACACACAGATACACGCATACGAACGCGAGTGCACCATAAAACTCCAAGATGTAAACAATCCGGAGAAGGAGAAACACAAAAATAGAAGAATCTTCTTAGCAGCGTCAAGCGCGCTACTAAGGATTTGGATTTGGTCGGTTGGTCGCCCCGCGCTCTGCCCGAGTGCACGCAAAGTATACCGAGTTCTTCGGGAAATGCAGCGTGCAGACGTGAGCGGAATACGAAGTTTCCGCGACTGGGAGGAAGGTAGAAAAGTAGCTCTCCGTTGTCTCGAGATGTGTGTGTGTGCGTAGAGTCGTTCTGAGAACGCGACTGTCGCCTCACGGTGAAGCGCGCATGGACGCTACGAACTGTCAGAGCCAATCCGGTGCCGTGTGGGCGTTGCGCATTGCTGTAACGCGTACCGCGTTACATCCAGCAATGCGCGACGCCCGCAACGACGTAACTGGAACGCGTTACTTCTTTTTTTTCAATAACGTATACTTAGTTTCATACTTAGTATGGAACGCTGTCAAAGCTATACAGGTGCGAGTGTGTGTAAATGATTTCCGAGATCAAACCCCACGCTGGCGCCAGCAGTTTTGACAGCGTTGTATATACGAAGTACGATACAGGGTATAGTAAAGTACTCGTTAGATTCTAAAATGACCAACGAGAAAAGTACAAATTTTGTTACTATTTTGTGGTATTATCTATGGATACACCGACTCGTTATTTTCGGTTAAAATTAGTTACATTTCCGGTCCCTTTAAAAGGCCGTTGCGCCAGCGGACCCTCGCTGTATCCTACAAATTTAATTAAAAAAGGATTATAAAAAGATCACGAAATCATTTTGTTACCGTTTAGTTCTTGTTAGAGTTTGTATCCACGGCTCGTCGCTGCCAAATAATAATTATAATAGTAATGATCAAATCCAAAGCGACGCGCAACGTTCGTTGGAATTCGTAAGTAGCGGTAATTCTATTTCGTTACATTTTCAGAACGGTAACGGATCTCAGTAACGCGTTAGGATTTGACGAACTAACAACTAACGCTATTTTCTCGCTTATTTTATGGAACGGGCACGCAGTGCGCGCAGTCACGCGATTCAAACGCAACGTTTCGATTGGCTGGAACTTCATCGTAAGTTAACACGGGAACATACGCGCCAGCACCCGTGCCGAGTGTACCGTACCTTCTCAACGGAATTGGGACGAACAGAAAAAAAGTATTTGCGACTGTTTTTCTTCTTTTTTTCCCCGTCAAATTGCGCCGACTCGTGCCGTCGGATTTTCTCGAGTAGACCCGTAAATGGGGACGACGTCTCGGTGCTTGTTGTTGACAAAGAATATGCGGCTGTCGTGTTCTTTTATTTATTTTTTTCAAGTTTTCAAGCTGTCGTCTGTCTGTTCGCCTCTAATTCGATTCAACTCTCGTCCGTGTTCATATGTTTGCCGAGGAATCGGTGGTCTTATGCCGCGAAGGAATCGATTTGCCGGAGTGTTTGGAAACGGGGGTCTGCGGAGTGTTGACAAATCATGCGCATAGCCGTCTCGAGAGTTCCGTCTATGTGACGTGTTGGGAGAAACCGCACGCATACGTGTGTGCGTAGCTTTTCGTTTGTCAGAAAGCGCGTGCGGACGAAGCATTCGGTACAGCTGCGCTTTCGCGTATGTACCGCAGAGAAGAACAGAAGCTGAAACACCCTTCTATGCATCTCTGAATTAACTACCAGTTTTTTTTTTTTTTGTTGTTTGAAAGAGTCAGCTAATTTCTAAATGTAGGTTTGATAATTATGAAATAACGGAAAAAGGCAGAAAAAAAAAAAAAAAAACAACGACAGATATGTGGGCGTACTCTCCATTGATGGCTGTCTGTTGCGAAAGAGAGTATAAAAAGTTAAGAGAAAAGTCTGAGAAGCACAAAGGTTAGAGCGCGACCGGACAGTTTCGCCTTTTTACCGCTAGATGTCGCAAGCCGCCGCCCGATTCTAAAGGTCCGAGTATTTTCATTCCTCCATTCATCTTACGCGTATGAAAGAAAAACGCGACACATCGCCTACATTTCACTTTCCGGCCAAAAACACTTTCCTTACTTTATTTATTTTTAATTTTACAATAGATAGAAAGAGGGAGATATACAGATACTTCGAGAGGAGAAAGTAAAATAGAACTAGAGCGCCCACGCCTGGGGCCACCAGGAGGGACTCATTTATCTCCTGTCACGATCCCACGGGAGTGAAAAAGCTTTCCCAAGCTTGACGCTGTGTGCACGCGAGCGGACGGTGCACCCCGTTCACGCCTAAGCTGACAGTGCAGTGCAAGCTACCTCAGACCAGCCGTACGTCTATGTTTCACCATGTGATCACGCTCCTGCCAATACCCACGCACAGAGGCGATGCCAGGTGATGAAAGGGAGGCGTTTGATTGGTCCGGCTAGCACGTAGCTTGCACCGCACTGTCAGGTCAGGGTGGATAGGAGTAGGGCCTAGCTGGCGTGCTGGGAGCCGAATGCCATCAACGCAGTTCCGTCCGCGCGCCCACCGCCACCTCGCCTGCTGTTTCCCAGCGCCTTCTTCGTGGTCTGGGGCTGTTTGGGCAGACGCAAAGTTAATTAAATACAAAAAAAGTTCGAAAGTTACTCGACCGGGAAGCCATTGTACAGAGTGCGACACAGCTAGCACAAAGAAGCGGTCGCCGTTTTGTACCGTTTTTCTGTGATAAATGAACGAGCCATTTATTAGAGCTAATCCATGCAGGTTGGTGCAACGTGGTGCCGTAAAATCGAACGTCGTCACTGCCTTGTTTACGTCTGGAACGCGAAGAAACGCCGATGTCCTGTTGGGGCTAACTGCACGAACACGTGGTGGTCTCCGTAGTTGGCGTGACGTCAGAAACATGGAGTGAAATCAGAAACAGAGCCGAACCCGATAACGTCGGAAACATGAATTGAACTTGGTGAAATCAGATACATTTGAGGCGAACTTGATGACGTCATAAACATGAGTTGACGACGTCACAAGCTCAACTCAATGAGATCATAGCCACGTGTTACCGGCGTCATAAAAACACAAGTTGGTGGCGTCAGAAACATTAAGTGAAATCAGAAACAGAGCTGATGACGTCCAAAGCATGAGCTGAACTCGGGTGAAATCAGATACATTTGAGGCGAACTTGATGACGTCATAAACATGAGTTGACGACGTCACAAACACAAGCTGTTGAGAAACAGGAATTGTTATAAGAAGTCCATTTTAGGGGGGAAAACCGACATTGATGTACATCATATATTGTGACTGAATTTTAAGATCTCGCATATACATGCACACATGCATGTCTGTCTCGAGCGGACGTTGGCACTTCGAATCGGCGACACCTACGTACATCACGCTTCGCTCGATGAATCCACCGCAGGTCATGTCCGTCCCGGTCACAGCGTTTCGATCTCGTTCGCGTTCTCTTCCTTCGGGTTGCGGCGGAGGAATTCCCACCCCGCCAACTTTCAATCTCGCGTCTGTCCCCCGTCCCGATCCGGCCACCGATTTCCTTCCGCGTGGTTTGCGTGTGTTTGCGTGTCTGTGGCGTTGGCGTCCACTCGCGCGCGAACGGGCGTGTCGCCCGGCAGCGGTGAAGCGATTCCATGACTGATCGGAGAGAGTTTTCGAGAGTTTCTTATTTTCCGCTTGTTTTATCTGCCTAGAGCTTGTGTGTCGCTCTTTTTTTTTTTCTTTTCCTTTTTTTCTTTCCCCTTTTCTTACCTATGGATCGGGCAGTCTAGTCGAAGTGGTTCGGATCGCGATCTTGGGTAGACCGATCGCTCTTTATATGATATCCTCCCTTCCGAACTTCGCTTCGGGTGATCTTATTACTATTTTTTTTTTCTTTTTTTCTTTTTACTCCTTCCCCATGCCTATATTATTTTCTAGCCCCTCTTCGTTTTGCCGGACTTCGCAGGGAGGCTCTCAACTTTGGGACGAGTTTGCTGAGATTGAGAAACGAACGTTTTCAACGCGGAAGAGAAGCGTCAACAAAGCTGCGGGTTTGGGAAGCGAGGTGGGGGGGGGGGGGGGGGGGGGGGGTCGGTGCACGTTATCAGGACTTGTCACGCAGGCGAAAAATGCGGAGTCACCGGTGTCACTGGCCCGTGGATGCATGCGCAGTGTCTGAGCTACTGAACATGTTCAGAAAGCGTTCTGCGGCCCAGTCGACAAATCATGGCAGCGCTCAGAAGGCGGCTATTCAATTGGTCTCGTAGTATACAGATACCTCTAGTCACAAATAATTTAAGAAACCCTGGGCGTGGCGAGTTAATAGTTACGTTTCTTAAACTGTCGGCGACGTGCAAGATACCCTTTCAGCGGCTGCTTCCACTACACCACTTTTGCGATGATCTGCTGATCACGATATGCTCGACGAATGAGGCCCGGCGTGGGTGGCGTAAACACTCACGTGTTTCTCGTGGTGGTGAAAACGCTCCTTGCTGTGCTTGTTGGACCGGTGTAGCTTCCTCCAGGTGTCGCTGCCTTCCAGAACGCTGTGAGCTTTCTTCTCGCCTCGGTGCTTCTGCGCGGACAGAGATGGAACGTGCGCAGTCGGGTCAGGAGCCATTTTGCGGAATGCATGGGCAGGTCAAGCACGACGTTTCCATAGTAGTGCGTCTCGCGTTAAGAACAGCGGGACAGGCTCGTCCCACAAAGCCCTTCACTCTTTCCACTTTAGCGGAGCGAACGCTGGAGAGAACGCGAGTGGAGAGGAGGAAACTACCAATCATGGCGAGCAGAGAGCTTTGTGGGAGGAGTCCTGCTGTCCTCAACCTGCAAAAGGCTATACGCTCAAAACGTTAATTGCTGGTCGTTGGCCGGATGCTGAACATTCGGGACGCACATTAACGACTTTTGCACCGAGGTACGCCCAAGGTTCTGAACTTTACTAAGAAATATAGCTGTTGTGCTCAAAATAAAATCTCGATTAAGAAAAAAAAAACTGCTCCTATTTTTATTATTTCATAGCTATAACTGTCAGTATTTCTGTGTCGTCAACTGCACACTGCCACAGATACAACTATCGTTGATTCTACCCACTGACACAACTACAGTTACACGTGCAAACAGCTATAGTATAGCTCCACCTCGAGCTTGACCTCTTCTAGTTGAAGGAAGCGTATCTGAGCTTAGCAAAGGCGTAAACTCTAAACAGCTGTATTGTAGAAAAGCGTGTTACACCGGTGACGCTTCAACCGTACGTAATACAATTCTGACTGACGCGCCAAAAAAAAAAAAGAGAAAAAAAGGCGATCGACAAAAGGGAGCGCGGGGAGAGCAAAAGCTGTTTGACAGTAGCAGCCTTGTTAGCGGTCCCCATCGAGCCATTCCATCGCGGCCCAGACAGCCGACTGCCCCCGCGGTATTAGCCGACGCGCACGGGCGCTTCTACAAAGCTCTTAATCGCGTACGCATCGCGACATTTTAATTGTACAGGCGCCGTCCCCCACGTCTTCATCAGAGACGACAAAAGGCGCACCGCAGGGTCATTAAGGTGCGCAGATTCAAATCGATCGTTGCATTATCAGCTTCCGATGGACCACCCTCTCCCCTCCCCCGCACATTTTTTTAACATTTTTTTTATACGTAATTTGCTTGTTGTGTATTGTTTTCGGGAGGCTATGTTCCGTTCACCCCTAAGCTGACAGTGCGGTGCAAGGTACATGCTCGTTGGATGAAGCGCACGTCTATCTCCTGCCACGCTCTCGCCCACGCCAACGCGCCGGGTCACGTGATGAAAGGGAGGCGGCTGATTGGTCCGGCGAGTGCGTAGCTCCCACCGCACTGTCACCGTAGGGGAGAAGGGAGTATAGGAACGCGCAGAAAACCGTAGGAAACATCCACACACGTAGTACGCATACAAAAGGAGAGCGTTACAATGAGAGCTGTATGGACGGAGAAATGTTCTATATATATCTATATATAAAGAAGACGTCTGTCGAGTCTTTTGTGCGAGGAAACAATGGTGGGGCGGCCTGTATTAACGTGTTCAGAGCGCATGTTTTGCGTGGAATAAATGGGCGGGCGGCGTTATCTTTGGGAAGTCATCTGTGCGTCCACGCGGGGAAAGGAAGCGGTCGCTTCTTTCTTGTCTTTTTTTCCTTTGCGCCTGTCTTTGAAGTTGGAAGACATTTTGCCGAGCTGCCAATCCCCTTTGACTTGAATGGCTTCGAGAATATTTGCGTCTTGGTTTATTTTGCCCGACGGCTCAAGGCGCTTTTCAGTGTCCATGGTCATCGTTAACACGGTCATTACTTATATGCTGTCGATATTTACCTGAAACTGATACAAGAACCTTTTTGCTTCTTTCCATTATATGTATAGCGCTTTAGTGGCCATGGTAATTTAATACTACCGATAGATTGTATGTTTAAAAAACAAATGATGTTATTCAGGGCGTTACTCAATGGCTGTACAAACAATAAAGACTTTTTTTTTTTTTTTTTTGTGCAATCACCATATTCTCGATTTTGTGCACTTTCCTACATTTGTCTTTTCGTTCATGGTATACACCTTTTCCGTTTACTCTTGTCGGCAGCCACCCGTGCGGATATCCGGTTTGGGCGACGAAAAAATAAAACATTTCATCCTGCAATTAGTAAAAAAAGAAAAAAGTAGAGGGGAGCCAAGTTGAGAATGGGTGACGGTTACGCTTATATCCTAAATATATTCTATCTGCGTGGCGACGGCAAAACCATGTGTTTCCCCATACTGGAAGTGACGATATTCAAGATGGCGGCGCCCTTGTGAAAAACGTCTGTGCACGCGCCACGCCTCATCGTTGATGAATCCATCCACTGGAAGACCACGGACACGTATATACGAACAAGAGACACCAGTCACATATTTCATTCGCAAGCTGAAAGGTCCGAAGCCAAGGCGCGTTCGACACGCGCCAGCGGACATATACAACTCGCTATAGCCTGCTCGCCGCACACATATATAGACGGCGCTATTAATCACGCTAGGCGTAAAACAATCGCAGCTTTCCCCCTAAACGACCAGACCGCGCAAACACGTCGTGTAGTGTCCCGAAGCCACGATCGAAAGCCAAAACCTTCTGTACACACACACACGCAGTCCCATATATCGGGGGAGGAAAGAGACAAATCTTGCCCTCGGGCCTCGTGCTCTTGACAGCACCGGCGAGCAACCGACGAGGGAAGTCGTCTTCATTTTGATAACCGCGTTGTCCCACAGTTATAATAAGCGGCTTCGCGTTCGTATAGTGTGACTCCCGCTTAGAGTAAACCGTTCCCTCCCGTGGTACGATTGGTTTTTCAGCTCACCACGTATACGGTAAAAAGTTTGATTTTTGCTTCGCGACAAAAGAGTCGTCTGGTTGAGGGCCAGAGCATGCAGCCAAGCTGGTATTACGCTAACATCTTCATTCGTATAGGGTTTTTCACATAACGTCAATCCGCCATTTTGTTTTTACACGTTTAGTGAATTAAAGGATTACATCGCAACCTCTTGAGTAGACGTCAGCGTGATGCGACTTGCAAGCTTCTGAGCACTATACTCATTTGAGCGGTCGTGTGGATTCTTGGAGTGCTCGCCTTCGGCACACAACAGACAGCTCATAACAAAATGGTGAACGAAGTTACGTCTTTTAAAAAGATTCTATGGTCGCTCATTTAGTATCGCTTGTGTTGTGATGCTTTGCCTGTGATACTTATCTTGTGACGCTTGTCACACTTTTCTTCTGACGCTTATCTTGTCAAGCTTGTATTGTGACGACTCTGTCTCCTGTTTGCGCATTCAGTCTTGGGCTGAACGTGGCAGATTGTACGTCTGACCCTGTCATGTTAATTCCAATCATTGTGTTCACGAAAAGAAAAAAAAAAAAAATCAGTACTAAAGCCGCTGCGCTGATCAAGGAATATTCGCTGCAGCATCGGCACTCGGAACCAAGCAGAGAAGCGAATGCTTCTTGTAAGCTACGTGTGAGAATTACTCGACCGGTATTAATTAAAACATGGCTTGCACGTGACGTATCGCGTCCTGCTAGTGGTCATCTAATTCTACTGGTCGATGAGACAAACAGATTTGAACTTGCAAAATGTATATCGCCGAAGGCACGTGTTCAGCAGCACGGCCATCACAATGGCCGCTGGTGTGAGGTCAGTGCAAGCCATGTAGTGACACAATGTGTTCTTCGCAGAAAAAAAAAAAGAAGGAACACGCACGCACAGGTTGCCGCCATTCATTGGTGTTCACAATAAATGGCTCGAGCTACTTCAAGCGGGTTCTCCGCAAGTTATAAACATATGGCCCTTTGGGAACGACATGGCGAGAGAATAAAAAGAAAATAATAATAAAAAAGAAGCTCATCATATACTGGATGGCGCCGGAGGCTCTCAGGAAGAATTGTGGTCTGGAGGACTAAGAGACAGTGGCCCTCACCCTCGGGTTGCAAGAGAAGGCGTGCATTCTGAGGACGAAAGTTCGTTGTCGCTGAAGCTTTTCTTCGCTTATTCTGCGCTGGCTTTCGGAACTTTGCGGACGCAGTCATCTTTGGTCGGCGTCTCACATGTATATGTACCTTCCGGGGACGCATTGTGCAGAAGATGAAGACGAAACGGCGTACACGTCATTTCCGGAGGGCCTCTTTGTGCGCAGTCTCTTTGTGCACTTTTTTTTTGTGTCGGGAACGCTCGACAAAAATGGTTCTGCGAAAGGTCACGAGAGACACGCGGGGACGTTGTCTTTGACGTTCAGACGAAAAGAAGAAAAAAACACACACGCACGCACGCACGCACGCACGCACGCACGCACGCACACACGCACGCACGCACACACTGAATCAGGCGAAAACTTGGCGGGTTTTTGTTTGGCGATCTTCTAGTAGTGGATCGGTCACAATGAGTTTTATTTATGTTTGGTATTGTTTCGTTTGTCTGTTTTCTTTGGGGAGGCTCAATGCATGCCTTTGGAAATATGCTGACGTATTCAAAATTATACTGTTTCACCTTACGATGAACCGTAGGACGCAACCAGGCATCGAAGCCAATTGAGCGTCTTGTGAATGTCACGTGACTTTCGGAGGGGGACGCTCCGGGGACGTAGTCACGTGTTACATTCACCGCGCTGGATTGGCTCAAATGGTTCGTGGCGTCCAACGCGGTCGATCGTATGGTTGGCATATGGAAATAGTAGCAGAGCTTGCATGTGACTGCAGCCATCATCCGTTTGATGCATATACACCCATAGGCCTCCTCTATACTGACAAAGCCTGGCAGATCGCCACGAGACGCGGCCGCCGAAAGTGAAAGAAATAGGAGAGTCATGTAACGGCCGCCCCGCTGCGGCGAGACGCCGAAACACACTTCTCCCGAGCGATGGAATGTCCGCTCGTGGTCCTCGCGTTCCTTGCGCTACCGCTTTTTTTTTTTTTTTTCGTCGGGTTTGAAGACCATGTTTCGGGTCCTCGCCGCTGGTATTGAGCTGTGCGCTGAATACTATAGGTTCCCCGAGAAATGCTTTCTGCTACCAGATCCTCACGCTCCAAATCTGCGGCTG